TTTTTTTTTTTTTTTGCTGAACATTATATAATTTACAGATAATCGTTAAAAATCGTTGTCGCTTTTTCTTCATTTTTTTGAATTGGTTTGTTGTTGTTGTTGTTATTGACAGTATTTTCTTTTTTTTCCCCTTCGTCTTTGTATCTTTGAGTGAACAGTAAATGTGGACTATCAGAGGTGTTGTATTGGACAGCCAAAACTGTGTACCAATCTCAACTACACTAAAAATATTTTGGTTGTAAATTAAGCATATTTTGATGGCTTTTTTTTTACCATTAAAAGAAACCAATTTTTTTTTCTTAACTTTTGAGAACTGTTTTTGACTGAAAATAACTGCAAAACGTTAGTTTGTGTATCTATTTGTATTTGTTGTTGTCATCCTCTACTCTTTTTTCTTATTTATTTGAAGGTTTCTGGTGGGTTTTTTGCGATAAAAAACCAAAAAAAGCGAGTTTCTTTATTTTGCCAAGTTAATTTTCTCGTTACTATTTTGCCTTAGTTGTTTTGTCGATGCAAACAAACATCAGTGAGGGAGGGGAAAAAAGAAGTGTTCGTTAAATTGTTGTAAGTTGGCTGGTATTTTTGGACGTTAATCACCGACGATTAAAATAACAGTATTTGGTGAAGGCGAAAACAGTGTCGACAAAAAAAAGAAAAATAAAGAATAAAGGATAAAAAAGGAGATTGTTTCGACTAAGAAGACTACGGAGGATAATTGAAAGGAATAACAGAAAGGAAACGAGGAATAGGAGTATCTGGAAGCCATTAAGAACAAAAGCTGTTAATAATATTGGAGGAAAATTTGTAGAAATAAATACATACAGAAAAAAACAGTTATCAATCGTTATTTGTATACCTCCTCTATGTATCACTACAGTCGTCGTTGTTGACGGATTACCTTCGCGATTCTCACCGTTATTTTTTTTTTCTTGAAATTACTAGAAAAAAAAAGCCATTGGAAAAACCCTTTTAATGTGGCTGTTTTCAGTAAAACTGTTGTTGAATGTTATGCTGCTGTTTCTTGGAGGAAATATTTACCATTCATCTATCGCGTAGATAAC